ACATCATCAGGGCGCGTCGGCCCGGTCCGCCGTGACAATATTCTTGGAATCTTTAAGGTATCCTTTCCCAGAAGATGTGTAATACTCTGAGACCCACCCCAAGTGCTGTGATGTGCCGAGTGCGGGCACTCAGGGCACTCCAAGACAGGACTGCTTTGCTGTCCCTCATCGAGGTAGACAAGCAAGTGGGGAATCCTGAGAACTGTCTTTCCGGGGTGGGGGTCGGGTCCCTTTAAGCACAGCCCTTGGCTAGCCTGAGGCAGCAGCTCCATGCTCTAAGTCCTAACCTGATGCCCTGTCGGCACTGCTTCCGGCCAGCCTTAACTTCGGTTCAGGTTCCACTCAATGTGGACATGCTAGTTCGAATTAGCAAAATGCTAATTCGAATTAGTTTTTACGTTAGATGCACTAATTCGAATTAGCTTAGTTCGAATTTACTAATTCAAATTAAGTTAGTTTGAATTAGTGCTGTAATGTAGACATACCCTTAGGTACCTATGTGGAAGCCTGTCTATGAAAGTATTTGCTGCTCCATTCTTTCACCTACAGCAGCACAGACAAGGTCAGACTGTTAGAAAACACTATCTATTCTTGCACCCCTGCCATCTCAGACCTTTTTAGGGTGATCAGCTTCCCTCTTCATTAAGATGGGCCCTATATTTGGTGCCTGATGGCCCATGACATGCATCCAATAAGGAGCATATCTGTTTTCAGTCTGTTATCATGGCTCTTTGCCTGCATACACATGGCATCCACTGAGGCAGAGCACAGAACATTCCTCTCATTGCAGCTACAGGAGTCGTTCTGTAGCTGTAATGACCCATCTCAAATCCTGAGTGGAGCAGCTATTAGTGCAGTGGCTCTAAAACATCATTGCACTCCGACTCCCTGCTGACAACCAAAATTACTACAAGAGCCCAGGCTGGGGGGACTGAAGTCTGAGCCCACCCAACCCCTGCCTTCCTGGGCTTGGAGGAGGGCCTGAACCCAAAGCCTAAGTCCTGCTGTCCTGGGTGAAAGAGTGGGGGTGGGCTGAAGCTATTGGACTTTGGACCTGGGGTGTGAGCTTACACTTCAGACTGGGTCACTGCGAATCAAATGTCAGCTGTGCGTGAGTGGCAGAGCCAAGACTGGAACCCTGATTTCTTGCTTCTCCATCAACTGCACCAGCCAGTGCATGTTACTGTGTTAGGCAATAGCCAAGCAAATGATCAAACACTCTGATGTGCCGCCACAAGCAGACACTGTAGGGACCTTACAAATCAAGAGTGACTTGGGGTTTCCATGCAGTTATTGATTATTCCTTGACATCGAGAAGCTCACTCTGGCTGTTTTACAGCTGTAGGTCACAGCTGCTGGCTTCACTTCGCAAGCCCAGCCTTGCCACGGCCGTGTACAATGGTTTTTTCCA